TTCTATGAAGAATTGTGTAGCATTTGTTGCATCTTAAAATAGAAGAAAAGAGTAGAATATTGAAAGAAACATTGTCAAAAGAAAAGGTAGTACAAATTGAACTAAATTTCATTTTTTCTAGTAACTGGAAGTTACAACAATAGTGGAAATTTGTGTGTAATAGGATTAAATTTTGATATCATAGCCCTATTATCATAGCATTGTCTTTCAACTGATTCAGCAAATTTTAGTAGGCTCAAGGGATTTAATAATAATGTATTACTGGAACTTTTGCTGTGGTTGTAGATAATTGCTGCTAATTACCTTTTAAACTTGATTGTTTCTAATGAATATTGGTACTCTTGGAAAAGATATGAATACTGAACACTGGTGTGTTTTTATTTTTGAAGACAACATAGGATCATGTCGTCTGTACCTAAAGGCAGTTTTATTTCCCTATATAATGAACAAATAACCATACAGCCCTGTGTATGAAACTATATATATCCTCTGTCACTACTCCATAGATCAAGAAATAAAATATTACTAGCACACCAGATGTCTTTCATTTCTCCTCAAGCCCAAAGAGAGCCACTATTACCTTGCATCATCTTAGACTATTTCCCCTGTTTTTAAATTTACTAATTTCAATATACTAATTCCAAATATTGAAGAAATTGAAATTCCTCCCATCTGAAATTAATCAAGCATGCAACCAAGATACATTATTAATTACTGGTGATTGGAATGTGAAAGTCGAAGCAGAGAGGAATAAGTGATGGAATATAGGCCCTTAGCACTAGAAACAAAGATCATGTAGTAGGGTAACAAGCTAGTCATTAAAAATACTTTATTTTCAACAACATAAATGGTGGCTGTACACATGGATCTTGCCAGATAGAATCAAATAGACTACATATGTGGCAAGAGATGATAGAAGATGGAGAAATTCAATATCATAAGTCAAAACAAGTTGAGTCTGCTGCGGAATAGGTCATTGATTGTTCACATGCAAGCTTCAGATGAAGCTGAAGGAAATGCAAACACTTGTATGAAATCTCCATATGACCTTGAATAGATTTCATCTGAACTTAGAGGTTTGGCATAGTGAACACCAGAGACCAAAAACTGGGTAAGTTGTGAATGACATCGAGGACATCATACATGGAAAAACGAAAAGGCCATTGAAAAGACAGGAAAAAGACCAAAGTGAACTTTTAAAGAGCCTTTGAAACTTGCTCTTGAATGCAGAATTGCTGCAGTAAATGGGAGAAATGATGAACTGTTAAAAAGTGAACAAAGTTTCAAAAGGCCGTTCAAAGAGATAAAGTCAAATATTATGATGAAATGTGCATAAACCCGGAGATAGAAAACTAAAAGTGAAGAACACATTTAATATTGCTCAAGCTGAAAGAACTGAAGAAAAATCCAGTGCTAGATTTGCAATATTCAAGAATTGAATGGGCAAAATATTGAATGATGCAGGAAGTATTAAAAGAGAGTGGAAGGAAGACACAGAATTGCTGGACACGCATGCAACGTTGGGCAGAGAATAAGGAAGACGAAGAAGATTTGAAGTATTGGAATGATGGTCTTCATGAAGAACATTGAATATACCGTGGATCTGTCAGAAGAACAAACAAGTCTGTCATGGAAGAAGTATAGCCAGAATGCTTCCTTAGGATCGAGGATGGTGTGTCTGTCTTCTCAAATGCTTTAGACATACCGTCATATCATCAGTTGGCGATTTATTATTA